GGTTGGCTTGTCTGGGCTTGGGTTGGCGTCTGACCAGAATTTGGAGATCGTGCAGCAGATAGAACACCGAGTGCTGAGAAAGGGTACGTTGGGACAAATGCAGCAGCTACAGATGAAGGCGCAGTTGTTACTGGTGCAGTCACTGAAAATGTTGGAGCAGATGAATTATTTGCTGGTGAAGGAGATGACTGAGGAAAACCACTCACTACCCTTCCATCTACACTAGCTGGAGAGGGAACCTTAGAAGAACTGGTCGTTATGGGATCTAGTTTACTCGAGCCCTCTCCAGTACCTGAACTTTGTGGGGTCACAGGCGTACCCTCATCTATCACCATTTCTCCTGGGCTGTCACACCTCCCTCTACCCTCATCCCTCCCCTTGTCACTGTCTGTTCGACGCTCCACAACCTTCACTGCACCTTCACTCCTTAGGTGCACTTCACCATCTTGGCGCTGATTCTGGTGCCTAGATTCATCGTCATTCATTCGAAGTTGATGTTCTGTTCCTTCAGTAACAGGAAATTGTGATCCAGATTTTTCCTCAGAATTGCTCCCATTAGCATCTGCTGTACCAGAACGTGGTTGCTGTTTACCAACAGCAAAATGCTGTTGCTGATGATGCCTTTGTTGTTGCTGTTGTGGTGGTTGTGAAGCTTGGTCTGGCTTGTCATCCTCCGACGTTCGCATCACCTCCACTATTCGGTTCTTGACATAATCGAGCGGGGAGAGGTGCGATTTTCCAGTCGCACCAGGATCAGGCGGATAAAATCGACGAGGAGCCAGAAATGCCACTGGATCACTTCCTACAGCACTGCCACTGCCACCTGGTAACCAGTGATGACCACCAGCAGCACCACTGGCACCCCCACCGCCAGACTCGGGAGGTGAAACCGGCTCAACATGATACTGTGCACTTTTACCCCCAGAAGAAGCATTGCTGCCTCTTGGAGAAGCTGGCTGAGCTATCCTGATGATCTGGCGTTCATCAGCCTGCATGGACGGTGTGCTAGACCTGAATGCACACAAAATTTAATATATTAAAAATTATTCAATACAAAGTCTGATTATACTTTACGTTGGTATAAACTATCTCCGTGTTCACAGTTCTTGTAAAGTGGTTCACTATACCGCCAAACCCCAGGCATATCGCTTATAGATGGTGCAGCAACAAACACGGTGAGATGACTTTTGTTCATAGTTCCTTAACTCCACCCTAATGATGGAGGCAGTAAGCACCTCTAGAACATCGGTAAACTTCTACCAGGCTACAAAGAACAACAACCCAGAAGACAGCAATCTTCATACTAGCTTCTCCATGGACTTTCTGTTGTTTCAAAGTGAATAAAACAAATGCTTAATGGTTAGATTGCATCTACTTCTGTATTTAACTTACTAAAGAAATGAAAGATTTTCAGTTAAATTTTGTACAGAGGATCTATACTAAAAGTTGTAGCACAAATTTAATTTTTGTTCAAGCCAGCACACTATAGCTCCTCGTTCACATGGATCGAGCTCCAGACTTCATAAATTAGTTCTCACATTTATACATTTTAGGTCCACTTTAGACCAGATATTTAAGTACAGACGTGGAAAATATGGAGACCTGACTGATCCCACAGTACTAACATAAATCTCAATTAACATGAAGGGAGATAAATCAGATGAAATGTAAAAAACTCGTCCATTACCTCGACGAAGCTGCAGACTTCTCACGCTCCCTTACAGCTTCCATTTCCTTATGTTGCAATGCCCTACGCAGTTTCCAGCTATGGTGTTCTGCTATCATGTCTACTGCTTGTGTAGGTGCAGGTAGGTGATACGGATGGTGTGGTCCGGAAGCGTACACACCACGATGATGATGCTGCTGACCATAACCACTACCTGCACTTCCTGGAGAGGGGCTACTCCCACTGAAGTCCTTTGTTATAATTGAGTCAATGTGCTCGCCTAAAGTAATGGCTTTACTAGACCCATCAGAAGCCTGACTGCTTGGAGGGCCATCTTGATCCAAATGAACTACACTGGGGCTATGAGATGATTTTAGTGGTGACACTTTTCCATTTGATTCAGGGACATGAAGAGATGACGGAGGCTGCGGCGTCGGCTGCTGCTGATGAGATAAAGGTGGTTGCTGGTCACGATGAAAGCTCTGAAATATAATTAAAGCGGATAACATTTTACAGGAGAGATAATCAATATGAAAACTTTCAAGCACTAAAGGGAAGAACAAGATGTTTCTAAAATATACAGTACCACTAACACACCACAATGGGCATTTTTGGACCAAAGTGGCTGACACTAATGAAGATGGGTGGCAGAGAAAAAGACAGATACACAAACAAATTACATTTGCTTCATACCTGAAGTAAATGAATACTTTATACACCATCTCTCTGAAGCTGACTGGAAAAACTCAGTTATTGTTCTTCATGTCGGTCAGTTTAGTAGAGAAAACTGTACCTGAAACAGCCTATCTCCTGGCCTTGTAGGTGCAGGACTGTTAGATGTGCCCCCTTGGCTGCCACTCCCTGAACCATCTGTTGAACTCTGGTTAATTTGATGTGTAATAATGGCATCAATTAGGCTGGCTGCAGTAAGAGTTGATGAATCCCCACTACCACCACTCGAACTTCTCCCACTACCTCCACCCCGAGTTACACCTTCACGGTCACGAGTTCCTTCACTTCCTGCAAAAGGTAAAAGGTCATATATTGTTATTCGACTATGCTCAGTATTAGAAAATTCACTGTCATTTAACCCATGTAAGAACAATGAATGGACTCTTCCTCTTACCCAGAACTTTGACATAATTGATTATTTTTTTTAAACTTTCCTTTTCAAGGAAAGGATGGCTTACGCCTTCATCAAATGCGTGTATATGCAACCACTAAAATCAACTGACAGACCGTAATTAAACTTTTGTATATATGCCATGCCATTAGACTACTACTACACCTTCATGCTTCTGAATTCCTTAAAATCTATAATACCAACATGGTGGTAATATGTATTGGGATCTGAGTGACAGTAAGAACACTAAATTTTGTCTTATACAATACAAAAATGGCAATGAAATAAACATACTTGCATGACATATTTCATCGAAATTAAATCAGTTCCTTTGGAAATTACTCACAGAAACAGATCGCAGAGTTGTATAACTAATCTCTACTCCAGCTAATCATCTATCAAGATAAATAAATTCAAGGTACCGTAATTTTTCGTTAGTATACTAATAACTATCACAATATCTGGATACACTCACAGAATCTGAGAGGTTAGAAAACAAAGACTGTCATAAATAGCAGGACACACCTGAAATATTCAAGGTATTATGAACCAATTATAGGCATTGTGTGGACACAGAAAAAAGTTCACGTACCATGCTGCACCTGTTGCGATGCAGCGTGAAGCCTCGAAGGTAGCGGTGGCTGTACAGCAGATGGTCCATCCCTCTGAAAACCCATCAACATTCTTGTGGTTTCTCGCTCAAAGTCTGAGGCACGTGGATGTTCACGATATGCAGCAGCACGATACGCCATCTGCTGCTGATGGTGCCTCTGTTGTCGCTGGTCAAACTCTACAGCAGATAACCTTGCTTGCTGCTGCTGCTGCTGCTGCTGTTGTTGTTGTTGGTGTTGTATCTGCTGTTGCAAATGAACTTGCTGCTGCTGCTGCAACTCCCTGTGTTGTTGGATCTGATGAGTTTCTCGATCTCTTGATGTGGCCACAAGGCGCTGCTGTTGCTCTTGTTCCCTCTCCCTTGTAGACTGACTGTAGCGTTCCGGATGGTGGCTCTCTCTTGCGGCTGCGGCAAACCTCTGTTGTTCGGCGTGACTTTCTCTTGCCGCTGCAAACCGTTGCTGCTCGCCGGCATGATGGGCATCGCGCTCACGTTGTTCCCGAGTGACAGAGAATCTTTCTCGGTCTTGCATCTGGTGATGATCGGTCAACATGCGAGTACTGTTTAGGGAATCAGCCATAGTCTTCCCAAGACCTTCATGATGGTGTGGGTGATGAGGAAGAAGATGCTGTTGCTGAGGTTGCTGACGCTTGTCTGAATCCTTATGAGGGACAGGCAAACTGGGCTGCTGGACAGCCATCTCCACTAGAGAGGAAAATGCCTCGTGCCCTGGTGGCGGATGACCAGGTGGAGGATAGTGGTGAGAATGATGCTGAAGATGAGTTGTTAGGTGATGAAGTCGTTGATGTGGAGATGCAGCTGGAGATGGAGGTTTGGGGTTTCCATTTCCACTGCTTGGAGGCCTAGATGGAGCTGCATTGTGCCTGGGTGTGGAGTGTATAACACCCTGGCGTGTTTGTGGGGGAGGTGTGTGATGTGGAGGAGTTTGTGGTTGTTCCATTCCAACAGCATTTGCGGGTGATGATCGTGGCAACCTACCATCAGCTGCCAGGTACACTGAGGATGGATTTGCTGTGGAATAATAGTGAGGAGATGATGAGATACCACGGGGTGATGGTGAATCCTGTTGGGATTTCTCTGAGGAAGGTGGATTTGATCCTGGAGGCACTCTCCGAGTACCATGCATCTGCTGCGATGTAATATAATCGTTCATAATGATCTGACGCTGCTGATCAATAACATATGATGCAGCTGACCTAGTGGACTGATGTGGGTATGGTGAAGTAAAACCTCCAGCAGAGGTGGTTTGTGGGGCTTGAACCTCTCGTTGGTAGGGCGAATATCCTGGTTGTCCACCACTACCTGCAGGTCCTGTGGAATTGCTTCCAGCATTCTGAGCTACAGCAGCAGGTGAAAGTCTTTTATAATAATCATACACAGCTCCCTGTCCTTGTGATACTAATGGCAATCCACCCCTATCTGCACGTTTGTCTGGTGCCAGGTGGTGTGGAGAATGATGAACAGGGGTGCCTTGGGTGATAGAACCACTTAAAGCAGCCCCTTCTTTTCCTTGTTGCTGAGGAGGCGTCATTTGACGAAGCAAGCCCTCATACCGAGGCTGCTGATGTAATGACGCTGGTCCACCCACCATAAGAGATGCAGATGAAGACACTGGTGTCCCATGAGTAATTGAGCCAGTCTTTGTACCAACTGGGGGCAATTTTTGAGATGGTTTCGGAGGCAATGAAGGTACCTGTTTACAAACGAGTAATTTCAGGATATTAAGATGAGTACAGTTTGTTGGAAAACTATGTAAACAAACAATGAGCTTCTCATTCCAGTTACAGGATCAATTTTATTTTATTTGTATTTATTCTGCAGCCACACGTAATCCTAATCTTGAATAGCACACAATCTAGAAATGAATTCAAAACTAAAGCAAAGTTTATGTCTAATAAACACATTCTTATGATTATTTATGCTACCAAGTATTATATCTATGAGTGATGTAATTTTCAAATTTTTAAACAAAACTGGAAAGTATTAGTCGTATCTCCCTGTGCTTCTGGAAGTACCATGTAACATGTTAACATCTGAGAGTTTCAAAGCTTTGTTCTATAGACCACACTGATAGGAATCTGTCTGATTTACAGTGTTTGGGATCTTGTAAAAGAATATCACCTTGCAAGTTCAAGTCTGACCTTGGTTGGTTTGGTGATGGGACCCTGAGGCCCAGGTCTGGAGGCAGGTTGTTGCTGGTTCATAACCAGATGAGGAGTTGGGCCACCACAAACAGAACTGCCACCACCACGACTATCCGAATGTGGCAGGACAGTAGACACAAACACAGATGGAGATTTGGAAACACTCCGAAGCTGCTCAGTGGATACTACCACCTGAGAGTTAAAAACGGATATTAATAAACACAGAATATGATAAAACCATAGCAAGAGTTGGGAATTTTAATAACTTCACTATACCTAAATATTAATACGCAATATATTAATTCAATGTGCACAAATTTATAGGCATCAGTGCTCATCTGCTTTGCTGCAATTGCCAAATATGGATGTCTGCTGCAAACTCCCAGGTGGGGCAGGTACATAAGTCATTAGTGACTTAATTAGTGCTTTACGGGTGGTTAGTTTGCACTTAGTGCTTAATCGCTCACTTCTGAATATGGGGTGGACTCTAATAAATGTTCTGAAGGCTTTAGCTTTAATCCCTTGTTCATTGTGAAAAAAGCCCCAAAGTGAATAAACTGTAACAATGAGAAAGATGACTTGTGGTGCTAAGAAATCCACATAAACATTCACGCCCTGGGAAAAATTAAAACTCACAATCCAACATTCACTAGGGAAGACAACAAGCTTAAAGCATCACTATTAACATTTGAAATCTGATCAGGAAAAATAGTACCACTGTTGCAATGTCTAAAAAAAAAATTAATGTTCCAATACCTGATGTGGATAGTAGCCAGTATCGGTGCGAAATACAGTAACTGACGGGAGTGAAGGATGGTGTGGGCCAGATTTATGGGCAGGAGGAGGGGGGATGATGCTGTGTAGTGTAGTGTGGGCGGGTAATGTGGGAGAGTCCCGATGCTGAGAATGGTGGTGGTATGGCGAATCACCCCGTGGCCCCATTGGGCTAGAATCGCGCACCATGGAGGCCATCGGACTAGGACTGCACTCACGAGGCTTCTTGATGCTCAGGTCAAGGGTCACCCCTTCTGGCTCTGTCCTCTCATTCCTCTCACTTCGCTCTCTTTGCACTTGCTGGACCTGGTATATAAAAAATTAAAGCCACACATGAGATAATAGGAAGTCATTAACTGCTTCTTCTTTCATGTTTCCTTTACAAAATAATATAGTTCAATTTGACTGCCAAATCTTTCATGGGATCAAAATTAAAAACTGTTTAATGGAAACGTAAGCTGTGTTTATAGCAAGTGTACAGACACTATAATGGACAAACTTCAGTCATGACAACATAAATAAATTTTGGTTTAAAGAAGTTTTCTCCCCCCTCCTTTTGTTTCAATTTCTTAATTTGTCAAATTACTTTTTAAAGTAATCGTTCTTTCATGGTAATGTCCCATCCATCTTTGAAGTCATTATAATTATATCTAACATATGTAAGACTTGACATAACATAATTTGAATTCAATAATGGTCTACACAATTCTATTACCTATTTGTTTATTTTATAACAGTCATTGTTAATTTCCTTAAGAGACACAAAATGAATGTTTCTTAAACTAAATCTGTTACTTTTCCATTTCACTGTCTTATTTTTGTAAAAGTAAACTACTTTCATAAGTTGCAACAAGTGTAAATAAAAATGGTGAGAAATTTTACTCATTCAGATGATAGAAAAATTTTTCTTTGTCCTAGAGAGCTGAATTTTGGACATTTACAGTTTCCCCATAAAACCCCCATAACTGTCATCCAACCTCCACACATCAATATAGGTCCTAAGACAAACTTCTAAGAATGAAATTACATATCAATGTTTTATATCCATTCAGCAATGGGCCCCTTTACCTATCAGAAATGCTTGTATCCGTCTCCTCTCTCCGACCACAAATGTCTGATTCGTATTTATATGCCTGGCACCGAATAAATAAATCAGTAGTACCTGCACTACGACAAGTCCTTCCCGAGGCATGTCATTAGCAGTTGTAGAGCAAGGTGTAATGGTAGCTTGCATCTGAGGAACATGTTGAAGAATGGCTGTCCCAGAAGTCCCACTATTGGAAATTGCCAGATGCTGCTGCTGTAAAGAACTGCTCCCTGGCACACTGCCACCATGATGATGTGAATTCATGACGGACAAAGTTGCTAAGGATGTTTCCTGAGGTAGCTGCACTCTCAAAGCCTGCTGCTGCTTTGTGTCTGCACGGTATTCATGGACAAAAGTGATGTCTATTGTGCAAAAAAAAATAAAAAAGTCTATAAATTTACAGTCCACATAACTCTGCATTATGGTTTCTGTACGGCACTTCTGTAGACATTAATGTACGAACTGCTGTTATGTTTTCACACTAAAAGCATTTTGTAGTTAATGTGTATTGTAAAATCTCAGATTCTGATTCCTGTGATACTTCAAGGTCAAATTATATAGTACTACAAACACACAATAAGAGACTGGTTCCTAAAGCATAGCTTCGGTTTGAAATTCAGAAAGGTACTAGCACAGGAATTAGAACTAGGGGCCAGATGGATGAAATCGGCTCCACAACTAAAGGAGATAATCGTCTCAGATGATCAGCCATGTCAAAGACTATCTCTATTACCAGAAGCCAGAGATGGTTATCAGAGAAGACTATGAGATGATGACAGTGACTGTTCGTATAATGTTTATGAAGGGGGCCAGTATTTAACTTCCCAGAACAATTTTTTAAACCAGTAATTTAATAAAAGCAATGGTCTCATAAATAAAACAAAAAATAAAAATTCTTAAACCTGCACAGGAAAAGAAACTGTAATGCCTAAACTTTCAAGAAATGTATTATAAAGCTGTTGATTCAACAATCCATAAAAATATAAACATAAATTGTAAGTAACAGCCTAAGCTAATATGCAAAAGTTTATGGTATTTAATCATGACCACATACAATTTATTTTTTGTGTTTGAGAAATTTGTGATCAGTATTACTGTGAACACAAAGCAACATACCCCTGGAATTATCTGAGGAAGGTCGTAGCATATCTGTCCGATGATCCGTCTTGAGAATCGATGAGATTGTGGGTGTCCCTTCACTGGTCACCACATTCACAGCTGTGTTAACACCCTGACCACATGGATTCTTTTTGATCTGCATCTCTATCACGCCAAGCATCAAATCCTTTACAGATCGGACATTTAATGGTGACGAGGGTCCGTTCACCTGTTACAGAAAGAATATGTATTTACTGATTAAGCTTCACAAATTCTGTAGCAGATTAAAAAGATTATATTTGAGTAAAGAGCTAAATCAGTTGAGCTTATTACATGCTAGACATTTTAACATCAACAGTGATAGTAACTTAACCCATCTCTCAGAACCATACATGAAAAATATTATTTATGTAACTCTGGTCCTATGAACGACTAATCCACTTAACTCACTCTATGCCATCATCATATTTCAATTACACTGTATAAAGGGGAAACCATATTATTGTACATAACACATCAGAAATAATCCACATAGTGTTAAAATTATTAAATGTAGTTGTGATTTATTTCCAGTTTAATTATTTACATTGCTGAGTTTCATTCAACTTTCACTAAATAAACCATTTTACTGTATGTGAGAGTTAAAGTCCCTGTTACATATGCAACCAGAGAAGTCATGTGCTTCACTACTTCTCCTTCTTCTTCTTTCTCATCTCCCATTTTTGCCTTTATAGCGTCGGGGGTCGATTGCTCGGTCCACCTCCTCCATTCCTTCTTATCCCTTGCTAAGAATTTCATCTGCGTTAAACTTTTCCCCTTTGCCTGTCCTATTTCTATAATAGTATCCAAGTAGCTCTTTGAAGGTCTTCCTCTGGTACCCTCAACTCTAGCTGTGCTTCACTACTAGCAGACCAAAAGTATCACGCTTGTACGGGTAATACTTTATAAAATAAAATAATGATGATAAAACAAATAAAGAAATATCAACACTATGGACAGCGCAGCAAAGGAAAGCAATAAAGACTATGAGAAATATATTTGTACTAAATATCAATGTTCTCCATTCAGGACTATGAAGTTACACGTGTGTACACAACTTGCCTACCAGGCCACCTACATCACGAATATTTATTTAAATCCTGCATACAGTAGTTTCGAAGTCCTCACCTCCCCTTGGTGCGATGATGTCTGTGGTTGACTAATGGTGACTGAGGCAGATGAATGAGGAAAGGTAACACCGCTGCTTATATTTTTGGGGGACTGTCTAGAGTCTCCTTCAGCTCCACCCTGACCTTCATCTGCAGTTTCCTGCAACACAACAAAAGTAAAAAATTCTATTACAGACAAATTTTGTACTTTGTTTTATTCAAATCACAGTATTCTTCTATACACATATGAGTAAGAGGATAAAAAATTCACACATTCCTGTATCTGTAGTAGATGAAACCTTTTACTCAATGGAGCTACATATTCTAACTCTGAAGGACATGCATTCATCAATATGCAAAACCAAATTTTGAGTCAGTATATAAAAGTAAACTCACCGTGGCTGAACTATCATAATCCTCCTTTACAGGAACATTGACCTGTGAAGGCTGCCCTTGTCCTTGAGTTCTTCCATCACCATCAACAACTCTTAAAGCAGCCACAGAACCAGATCCATTGCTACTACCATTGCCACTGTTTGGCAAGTCTGGTTCGCCGAGTTTGCCATCCACCGCAACGCCACTTGCACCTCCTTTGTCATCTTCAGAATGAGAAAAACACATAACCATTACTCACACTGCATTCACAAACTTTTTCAATTATCCATAAATAAAATAAACAAACAATTAGGGGGTTCAGTGAGTAAGAAAATTATTCCAATTTCAGATTAAAATGAACTAGTCTTGTTGGAATAAATATTGCAGAAATATATCTTACATTAATACATCAATCAATTCATCTTCAATGTTACCATCTAACCTTTACCTAAATTCAATGGACACACATGATCAGACAGACCCAATACAGCATCTACTAGCAAAAGCCATACTAAAACTATTCCATTGTAACAAACTCCACACAGCACAGTCCTTAAAATACTCAAGCAATTTCCCATTTCATGAAATCCAAAGGCTCTTTACCATGTTCACAAGAGCCCACACATCACCATTCTAAGCCAGATTAATCCATAAAGGACAAGTATTAATATGTAGATACATATTTATGGCCATGTAAGGTTTTGTGTCCTCTTCTCATGAGGCATCATCTTGTGACGTACGATCAAGTGTCTTTGACCAACTAGGCTGTGCTGCCAGTGGAAGAAGGTTGCAGAACATTGCCACAGATCGCACTTTAAAATTCATCATACATTTTGCATTTCCTTACCTGGCTGTTCTCGACTTCCCGGTGATGCAGCACTATCTGTATCACTGTTATCGCGAGGAATGCCACCAGGTGTTAGCTCATCACATGAAGATGTACTTGACCCAGACTCTTCCTCATCTGTCACTGTAGGCTTCCTCTCCTCACCCAAATGGTTCTACAAACCGTATACCAGAAAAAAGTATTATTACATATTGAAAGACACTACCTAACAAACAAATTACGAACACATTCACAAATTCCAAGAAAATAATGTTTTCTTACAAATAATCAAGCTGTTCTAATATAGGTATACTGCTTAGTTACATTCTTATATTAGTAAATAAGAAGTAATCTGTAAGATATGAGGTTTACACAGCGGTGAGTATGAAGCTTTCTGTCTTCTGGGTTGTTGCGCTGTGTAGTATGGTGGATGTTTACCAACGTTTCAGAGGTCATACAGCCTCCATCATCAGGGGATTGATGACAGAGGCAGTATGACCTCAGAAGCGTTGGTAAACATCGACCATACTACACAGTGCAACCCAGAAGACAGACATCTTCAAGAAGTAATCTGCAAGCTATATAGTTAATGATATAAATAAATGTTAAATTTTAAAAAGTACAAGACAACAGGATACCTAAAATAACATACACATATAATGCATGAGTAAAATATGAACAGTTAGGACTAAGGTTAAGTTTTAAATTCATGCAATTAGTGAACACTGGCATATATGAAATTCTTTTACACAATAATTATCTTTATATAATACTGGGATACAGGGAACGACCCGTTCTTCAAGTGTCTGAGCACTGCGGGTCCCAACTTTCCATTGGCTTGACCTATGGACATTCGGTAGGACTCCTTGGACGAGGGATCGGCCCGTCGCAAGGCCTCTACCTGTACACAGGACAGCACAACACAGAAAAACGCGGACAAACATCCATGCCTTGAGTGGGATTCGAACCCACGGTATCAGTGACCAAGCGGCACAAGGCCCACGCCTCAGACCATGTGGCCACTGTGGACCCCCCTTTATATAATACTAATAAAATTTTAATTTCGAATGTAACCAAAACATACCTTGTTGTATTCTTGCACCAAGTTATCCAATCCGAGCTTCTTTCGATAGTTGAAGAAGAAATTCTTGCATTGGTGCTGAGTCTTATTAGAGCCGACCTTTTCTGCGACTTTAGCCCAGTTGGTCCCGTGCTCACGTATAGCGCATTTTGCAGCCTCCATCTCTTCCTCGGTCCAACGCAGCTGCTGAGAGCTGCTATGATCACCATCTTCACCTTGTGTGCTGGCACAGTCCTGAAGATGTGGGGCCAACCGCCGTGAGATACGATTGAAACACGCAGAGCAGCATTTGCTCACCTGTGCTGGTATTTCTGCACACACAGAACACATCTCACATTAATTTAAGAGCCAAAAGTGGAGAGAGAAGGAAGGGTTCAAAAGAAACCAGCCAATGACTGGTGAAATATATTCCTCCTGCAAAGAACAAACCAGCAATGTTTCATATTACTCTCAGAAAACGATACAAGATCCAACACTAAAGCTCCACATCTAGACTTCTTCAAACTGCGTATAACACTGCAAATCCCCACTTAATGGTACCTGCACCTTGTCGTGGTGGTGGGGCTTGAGTATCTCAGTGACCCCAAGAGCTATGCTGGCAGTAGCAAAGCTACTGGTAGGGCCTCCCTAGCCAGATTGGTCGAGGGGGAGAGGTCAGACTAAGACAGTTACCCTGGTCCTCCAGGTTGGGGGTTGGTTGCAAGGCTAACAACCTTGCACCGTAAAAAGGAAGATGTTTCGAGACCTCGATCAAAGCCTTGGACAGATGGACCTAACAGAGGACCGAATGGAAGAGGAGAATTGAGGAGGCCATGGACTGAATATGGACCAGAGAGCCATAGAAGAAGAAGAAGATGACACTGCAAATTGTCAGCCATGCTGGAACATATCAATGACTCGGAGTTCCCAAAAAAAAATCTAAGATGTTACAGTCAAGACTGTAAAAGGGTTAAATGTAAAAACACTGAGACAGATAACTTGAAAGTGAACTGAAATGCACAGCTGTTGTTTGACAATAAAAAAACAAGGATTTAATGCATAAATAAAGTCTAACAAACAGCGGGTGGAAGGGGGGAATTGTCCTGTGAGGACTTCATTTGATCATTTCCTTTGTTCACAATGCATTAAAAATCACATCCTAAATTGGAAACTTGGGCTACTTTTAGCCACTACATAAAATAGGTGGCATAACTGCTCACTTTCTAAAGCTGCTGACAGACGTTAAGTGTAAACTTACGAAATTCTGTAATGACTGGGTCCTTGACCTCGGGTGGGAGTTCCGTCCATTTGCCGGGCAGAGGCCTCAGTCGCTTGATCCTGCCCTTGGCATTCGGACAAGTAGGCAGTGGACACTGTGTGTAACGGCTGCGCACAGACTTGCAACGGCACGTGTTGCATACCCGTGCTCCCGGAGTAACTTCTTCTTCCTTCAACCCATACTGTGGAGCATGTGATCGAGGCAAGGGGCGTGACTGCAGAAACTTGTCTAGCTGTGCTTTGCACACTATGCATGGATGTGCACCACCCTTCTCTGCAACATAAAAGGTACAATGAGCGATACAATTTAAACCTTATAATATTACTGTATTTCAAAACAAAGCCCTATTATTTATTAATTTCCAATACAGAAATGTAACAAATCACTAAGACTTTGATTGCTCTGCTCCAAAATATGACAACTCAAAGGGTGAAGATTTCGGTCTTCTGGGTTGTTGCGCTGTGTACACTGGTCGATGTTAACCAACGTTTCAGAGGTCATACTGCCCTGAAGACGGAGTCTGAAACGTTGGTAAACATCGACCATACTACATGGTGCAACACCCCAGAAGACAGAAATCTTCATACTCAACGCTGTGAAAACCTCAAATCTAACTCAAAGGGTTCTCTACAAATTGTATTTAAGAAGAAACTCCTTTAAATTATTCACAAACACTGTCACGTAGATCATAACATTTATGCTTTATATATGCCCTAAGACTGTCTATACTGAGGTTTTGCAATTTTCTTCAGTTCCTCCACGCAAAAGCTAGGCAAAGACCTTAAACTAAACCATTACTGCAACCTTGACAATTCATCACTTACAAAACTGAACTCGCTAATCAATAAGAAAAACTGAACATTAAACTCACTAATCAATTAACTATTTTATGTTAATTTGTTCATTTATGTTAATTCGTGTTCACTTGCAATCCCACTGCAACATTTGGAAATTTGAAAGAAATAAAAAATGCTCTTTATTCTTTTCCATTATTTGTGTACTCATATCTGTGAAGTCACAACACATTTATCACTGACATTCTGTGACAGAATCACATACATAAACTTGTGTCTAGTTAGTCTCGATATGTCCTGTCTCCTGAATTGCGCGGGGACAGAAATTGATGATGTCCGCATGAATATACAGACATTTCTACCAGTAACACCACTGCATGTACATGTGTGTATGTACTTTTACATAATTACACAGAAGCAGACTTTGCTTTCTACTGCATACATGATCACAATACCAGCCAAATACCACCTGCCACTTTTTCACCTTTACATACCAAATTTCCAACAATAAAAAACATCCAGAACAAAACTGCTGTTTTATTTTTTAATGTGTGTTGCTCTTTCTCTCTCTCTCCCCTCCCCTACATCTCCCATCTAATTTGTCATCACACTCTCATTTCAGAGGAACCCACATATGGTTTCCTAAACCTCAAGTAAACATTGGCATCTGATTAATGACACAATTGGCAGAAATGCACGTCATCTTCCCCAACTTCCAGAGCAGTTCATTTTAAAATTTCAATACAACATTTCAAACATCTGTTGCAGATATTATTTAAAAAATAATGTTCCTACATTTTCAGAAAAAGGAAATGAACGTAACATAATCGTGAAAATAAAAAAAACAGCAAGTACAGGTAGCCCTCGATTTACGCCGGGGATGTGTTCCTGGACGAACCGGCGTAAACGGAATCGGCGTAAATTGAAACTCTTTTATAATGTAAACAATAGGAAGTCAATGACATGCGTTCCCAGCACCCAAACATTGACGAGTAGTATAATGACATTACATTTAAAGCTCTGAAATAACACAAATAAAATAAAGGGAATTTAAAAAATATATTTTGTACACTTACAATCGGCAATTCGTTGGTCATCTCTGCTGTTATGCGATAGTTGCATTCATGTAAGACGCCGACCTATAGAAAATCGCGTAGTAAAAATAACCCCGGTACCTCCGCAGAGATTAAATTAGTCCTTTGAAAGTTTAAAGCGCCAGGAATGAAACTGCATAAGATCAAACTCGCATATGCAAAAGTTTGCATTTCACAAACAGATTTTATCGATTCATCGATCTCATTGGAGCAAATTCGCGTTAACGAAACATACGTAATTGCAGAGATGACTGTATTTATAATTTTTATTCAAAATCAGCGATGTAAGAATTACGATTTAGTATAAGAAGCAGTGCCAGAAACATTGTAAAACGTTACAAATAATAATACAATATATTTCTTTCACTTTCTGACTTTCTGGTTTCAAAATCGGCGTTATTCTGAATCGGCGCAAATTGGACCGGCGCAAATCGAGGGCCACCTGTATATCGCAATATAATTACATGTGATAAACCACTTCAAATGTTTCAGATGTATCTGTCGATGAAAATATCAAATAGATAAGCATAAATAGGGTTCATTACAAAATTAAATGATTGGCTTGTTATTATTGCTTTCAAAACCCATAATCTGCATTTGTATCTGCAGAGTACTCACGATCAACACACATACATAAATTATCCATTTTACTTTAGATTTCATGTTTTCGTCACTAATTTACAAGAACAGGCATTGTAGCTCCTTTCTAACATTTCTGCCACCACGACCACCATCGTCTGTTGTAGTAATATAGTCAATCCTGTGAAGTCGTAATTCTCTGGAATGTGAACAAGTATTTTTTCATACTTTGTTTTGGTAGCATAAAGACTGCTGAAGAAGAGATTGCCGAACGCTGTTAAAAGATGCGAAAAAAATAAACAATGCACTCAATGAAAATCACAAACCATAGTTTGTGAACCAAAAGCTGCTTTTGCATATTCAAGTAGCATTTGTTCTTCTGAATTCCTGTGATTGATGCCTCCTAAAAGTATGGTTTGTTCACTGTTCAGCCACCTGACGTGGCTTGTAGCCCGAGAGCATCTCGTCAACCTCCTACAAGTATATTACAGTCTAAACTATTAAGGCATTACCTTCAGCCCTTTTTTTGTCAGTGAGCACATTGGAGGAACATTCTGGCAGGCCTGCATAACCCACGGCCCATGTTCAAGAATTGGTTTCATATTTAATTTAATTCATTTGTACGTTAATAAATGGCACAGACATGCAGAATATTTGATTTACAACGCATTCTGCTTGTCTTGGGTTCAGAAATCTCTGTGCTATTCATCATTTATGAAACAGCATAGTAATTCGTAAAAAGATTGCAGAACGAGGAACAGTCAGTAAAAGGGTTAAGCTTCAAATACTTAAAATGTTCTCAAGAAAATTAAATTTTCAAACTATGCACTGGTGTTTTCTTGCCAGGGTTTCAGTAACTTAAGCAGAGTGTACATACGTAAATGTCATAGTCATGGCAGTTTATATCTGACATATTATGAAAATGGTAAGAGAATGTGGATTGATGGGTGGCAGATTGTAGCGACGAGAATGTTTGATTGACTTGACACATATGCATCAGTTGGCAACAAATAGTTTGTCAGCCACCCAACTGGGGAATCTAATTCGCAGGTTTGTCATATTAAAGTGCCCCCTTCCCCCACCATCTGACAGACAATGGGGGATATCAGCGTGCAGTCACTCTGCCCTCCTACATGAATTACTGCATCATCCCACCACCAACACAACTGAACGGCTCATTACAATTTGCACACACAATAATTCTGAACGCACAAAAACACGACACTGAATTAAGAAAGGGAGCTCAAATTCTTCAAGTTCCTGATTTTCTTTCATGATGTCATCACTGATACTGAACAAAAAAAACCGACTCATTATTTGATTATCAATGCATAGGCCAACCATTTTAAATTATTATTATTATTATTATTATTATTATTATTATTATTATTATTATTATTATTATTATTATTATTATTATTATTATTGGCTTCTTGCTGTTGGCAAACACGTAAATAAATTAATTGAATTGAAACATCAACCTATAGTAATACGAGCATTTCAGCCCTCATCTTCAGGGTTAATTTTCAATGTTTCTACATTTGCTTCAACACCACTCAATTCCACTACAACACTTTCTAGATAGAAATTGCGTTACTTACAAAAAAGCATTCGTCGGGACAGTAAGATCCATAATTCTGTAAATGGGGCCAACACGTTTAAGAACTCGTAAATTTTGTCTCTCGTGACCCACTAATAACGAAAAAATAACTCTAATTTTTTATTGTATCACCAAATTCTGACAACAATCCTACTCGTGTAACACTGTGATTGTACACTTTACTTCCCAACAGTAAGCACATTCCTGGAACCTCTTTTAAAAAACTGTTTTGTTCACGTAATTGTCAAACTGCCAATCCACCCTTAGTTAGAAAGCTTTGCTAACACTCCAGACTAACCACGATCCTAATAAAAGTATACTGCATTGAAATAAAGCCATGCAGATATCCAATCGCTAATGTAACCACCGCCTCTTGGGAATCTATACATCCAGCCAACGAACTGACAATGCAAACTTTTACCCCTCTTCACTGTGCCCAAAAGTCACCCTTATTAACAAAATATATATGTAATGCACTGCGTCATTGAACACACAACCTCATTCCCACAAGCATTAATATCATTGGAAAGGCAAATTCAAAGGTAACCCATATAAAAAAGATATACGTACGGCAAGGGAACTGAAAATACAGCTTTAGCTTGCAAAAGCTTAAAAACTTTATGGATGAGGGAACAGAAGGGGGTTGGTATGGGAGCTGTTACGTAGTAGATGCAAACCCAACCAATTTATCCCAATTGTATGTGAATAATTGATATTTTCATCACATTCACAAACAATTAAGACCACCCTGCAATGCCAAAGAGCATACACTACCGACCACTGAGTGGGTTGGAAGGTAGAAACGTAACATTCTGGGTAGAGAGCGAAGCAGGATACGCTTACACAATTAAAATGTAGTAAAGAACAAAGAATTAGGCAGAGAGAAAGGGGGATACCAGAGGCATGTTTCGCCTCTATTTAACTGAAATATACATCGTACAAAGATACGGCTTTCACTATATATGAAAAGTTACTTGTATCTAAAGTTAAGTAAATAGTAATTATACTATAAACCGGAGTTTCTGCGTACAATAACACGTTTCTCAGTACTAAAAGTCAAAACTGTTCACAAAAAAAACAGCATTTAATTTTACCAGCAACAACCTCCATCTTTCTCAGAATATATCGGTAAATTCATCGAGTGAATGAGGCAGGATTCGATAGGTCTCCCTCGATGTTTACAGACTGATTTTTGTTGTGGGCATC